TTGTGACCACATTCGTCTCGACTGCTTTCTGACCTTCCCTCTTGATGGTTACTTGCCAATTAGTTATTTCTTTGAGGATTCCCCTCTCTTTCTGCTGCATCCTCTTTGGAGCCCTTTACTATCTTTTTGATGAAGACAGCGTTTTAGTGTTGAATTTTGTGATTGCTCTTGGACTCTTCTGGTGCATTTGCTATGTCGTCACCTCTTCTCCCTCCATGCGGGTGTCTATTCATCACTGGGCATACAGTCCTTTGGGACAGAAATATCACAGATTCATGCTATAGTTTCCGATTTGTCTTGAAGACCGGGAAGCTGTGAAGACCTCCTTAGCTCAAAATATTCAAGGATGCTAGCTAGCTCATAGTGGATTATATTCTTCAATTTATAGAATGAAATCAACTACCTTTTCAAAGTGCAGAGAAGTTTATATTTATGCAGAACACTTAGAGTAGCTACTGGTAACAAGCCTTTCTGTAATCGGGAGACTTCCAGTGTCAAAGATCATGCTGATAGATGCTTTGCTTCAGGAAGGCTAACTGGTAACAAGAAGGGAATACAGGAGTTGACACTGGTGTAATGCCCAGTAGAAGCCTGTTTCTTAGGCTGTGTGTGTGTGTGTGTGTGTGTGTGTGTGTGTGTTCAGCCATGCAACAGATGGTTTGTTCTACTTTGTATTAATTAAGGAGGCCAGACAGCTGGCACTGCCTTATCTTTGGTTTGCTCCAGGTGCTCCTGGAGATCAGTATTTCTCAGAGGGGTTGTGAACTGCCTTTATGGGTGTGGCCAGGGCAGAAGTAGGCAGTGTCGTGTCTGCTCACACACCATTGGCTAGGACTTAGGAGTATGACCAGGCTGTCAGGGCAGTGAATGAGGCGCCTCACTCTTTTGTACACCCAGAAAGAAGAGCAAACGTTTTTGGTGGTTAGCCTCTGACATCGAAGGTATTTTTATTTTTAATTTGTAAGAAAAATGCAGACATTTAATTTACTCCCTGCTGTGTGGGAAAGACTGTACCATCGAATAAACACACAGTTAAAATGTCACAGTGTTCATTAAATAGTGAGAAACTCCAAATATAATGCTGTTACTTGACCAGCTTTCTTTTGGATATTGGGAGGAAAAGGACAGCTCACAACTATTAAATTAGATTTATAGTGAGAATCAAAAAAGGAAATTATAGAAAAAATTCATTTACCCATTGTTGATTAATTTAAGAAGACATAAGGACCAGTTTATGTCCACAATCAGTGAAACTTCCAGCTTCAGTGATTGATTCTTATTGCAAAACCTAAAAAAATCAGATTATTTCAATTGGGGCTTTATTATCTGTCAATGAGTATGAGTGTCCATCATCATCAGAGTTCTGCAAAGGTGCTGAGACCAAATGGAATCAACCAGAAATAAAAGCAAACTTAGGAAAAAATGAATCTGCATTCATGGTTGTGTATTTGCTGTGTAAGGTCAGGTATTCTGGGAGCTGGAGAGAGTAAAGCATTTTCTATGGAGTTTCAGCCCTTCCTGACCCAGCCCTTAACTCTGCTGAAATACAGCACCAGAACAAAGAAAACAAATGCAAATTTGTTTAAAAAAACAGCTTTAATTTTATACTTGCCATTGTCACACAGTTCTCACAATTCAGGGAATTATTAAAATAACATGGGTTTGGCCTTTTCTTGGTTCTGTTAACTTAGGATATGTTCTACTTGACGGGAACATGCCAAAAACAAATCCAACATGGACATGTATCTGTCTTTTTCAATTTTGGCTTTATCCTAACATTAAAAGAAAACTTGTTAAGTCACAAGCTGATAGATTTAATATTAAAACACATTTAGTCATGAGAGTCCATGTACACCGACCCTTGTAGTTTCTTTTTCAGATTTTGTGGTATCTGCAGATAGATCTTAGAACCTAAGTCTAAACACTCATCTCCACCTATATATACCTTGTATACACAGCCTGAAAGGAACTGTGCAGGATTTTAGTTCACTTATATCTTAACTACAGCTCTCATATGAGGTCATGTGTAGAATTTTTACTTGTGGCATCATGGTAGCATTAAAAAAATACTGGATTTTGGAACATTGCAAATTTCAGAATTTTTTTTATTAGAGATAACTTAAAATATTTAATCTGTACTTCATTTTCCTGTTTAAAAAAAGAAGTATCTGACATACTTGTGTTCTACACTGGGAAGTATTGTGTAACTTTGAACTGATTGAGAACCACCCCAAATACTTCATAGATACTAGACGATGCCTGTGCTGTAACTCAAATATATTCAGCTATATTGATGTTCAAAGCTAATGTAGTTATGAGGTGCATAATAAGTTACGATCCAACACAGAGCACAGTATTCCAAATAAAGATACTCATATTGGAATATTTAAGAAACAGTGAAACCCAAGCTGTGTGTGTGCCCCTGTGTTGCATTGTGTGGGATCTGGTGAGGTGCACTGCCACAAGGGAGTTTTTGTTTATAGTCCTGAATATCTTTCTTTGTAACCTCTAAAAACAGGTTCCTTAAACCTGATGAGTGTATGACCCTCTCGTTTTTGTTTTGAAAACAGTCTAGCTATGTAGCATAGGCTGCCTTTAAACTCACTATGTAGCCAAGGCTTACCTGAAACTTAGAATCCTGCCTGAGGCTTCCAAGTGCTGGAAGGAATAACACCATGGCCCCGAGAAGACAAAATTTTAAATGTCTTTAATATAATTTTATCTATGTATTCATACACATTCACTCAAAAGTTGACTTCATATCTCTAAAATAAATTTACAGTTCAAGCATAGACTATAAGCAAAGCTACAAAATTATTTTGATTTAAATCAATATAATTAGGCTTTATATTTAGTTAGGATTATTTTCTTTTTAAAAACAATAGGGCAAGATTTAGTGAAGACAGGGACCAGTTAATAAGAGTGAAGCAAATATCTGCACAGAAAAGAACCCTTTGAGAGTTAATGTAGGGCAGGGACATAAGGTTGTTTTGGTCCTAGGGATGAATGGAAACCTTTGAAGATGTATGAATAGAATAATAGGATGCTATACTTTTAATTCGTCTTCACAATAGGAATATTTGAATAAGTGAGTAGAAGAAAAAATGAGGTAGAAGGCCCAGGCGGTCGGCTCTGTTCATTTGGCTTATTCACTACTGTGTTGCCAGGACCTAGAACATAGAACATATTCATCTGTCAGTATCACTGAATGACTATGTAGGGTATCTCACATGGCCAGCAGAGAGACATCCCTACAGAAGGGTGTGGAAAGGAGCCTACACTAGCTGTTCCATGTAGAAATTAGCAGCTGATGCCATGAGCTGGAGCGCTACTTGTAGCTAAGGGAGCCCTGGTGCAGAATTGTGAAGAAGGGAGAGGAGGAGCAGGCTAAGGCTGAGCCTCTTCTGCCTCTGTAATAGTTGGTGAAGGGGAGACACTGAGGGCAGGTGACAAAAGTGATTTGGGAGACCATTTTGTATCATAAACCAAAAGGCAGAGGGGTGATTACTCACTTCTAATGTCCAACTCATCAATGATTATTTTGGATTTTGAAGTTGAGCCTTATTTTAAAGCAGACTTACTTTGAAGCTACCCACTGTTTAAAAAAGAAAAAAAAGAATGGATATCGTAAAAGGAATATATGGATTACTGTTGAGGGGAGCAAGGTCAAAGCAATCAAATGGGGTGTATCCTGAAGCAGGGAGAGTAATTTCAGGATTTGAGTATTTGGGAATTTAACACCTACTTCCTTTAGGCTTCTTATTACTACAACATTGAGCTAAATTTTAGTACATTATACATAGTTGTTAAGCACCAGGATAATTATATCACAAAAAGATGTTTGCCTTACGAAAGATGTTTGCCTTATGAATTCATTTAATTCCATATTTTTATTAGTGACCTACCCTGGGATATTCTAAGTTATTGTATTGTTTTATTTCCAGACAACTTTCATGAAAGTTATTTTGCCTAAAGCAGGCACACAGATCAGTTGTTTAAAAAAAAAATAAGACATAAGCTCAAAAATAGGCATTGCTTCCTTCCTACTTTATGGCTCTGAAAGCCATTGTGAGCCTCTTAGTAGTGTTTACTATACCAGCAAGCGGCAGGACTGAGCATTATGTTTCCATTTTGATTAACTTGACTGCGGTTGGTTTTCTGGGCGCCACTTTAGAGCACACTGTGGAATAAAATTAAAACATTCTTTATGATACAACAATTCACTTGCTGAAAATGGCATTTTTCTCCTATCCCTGAGTGGCAATGTGCTCTCCCTGAGTTTCCCATGTGGGCCCCAGGGCTCCGTTTTCTCCCTTCGCCAATGCTTCTTCCGTAATATCTCCAGATCCATGTTCCCTGAGTGTTGTTGTTCATTCCCAGCTCCTGGAAGGCTCCCATCTCCTCCCTCTAAGCCCAGCTCATCGATCCCAGGGAAAGCCCAGTGGCTCTGTTTTCCCTTTAGCACTTCCTTCATCTCCACTGATGTCCCAGGTCCAGTCTAGATTGTGTATCTCTTCCACAAGTATAGTTCTTGTGGAGCACACTGTGGGCTTCTTACCAAATCTCCTTTATATTTCCACCAATTCCTCCATTGCCTGCTCCCAGATATAAAAAAAACAATACAAATAAAGTGAGTACAGACATCATGGCACATGTGCACCAACGTATATAAATACACACAAAATAAATTAAGCAAATAAATAAGTGAACGAAAAATAAAAGTTTGTTAGACAAATGGATAAGGAACACTTTGAAATTAAGAAGCTTGCAGACTTCCCCCTCAGACATTCACGACCTCTTTCTAATATTTTCATGATCCTTTAGTGAACTTTTTCTGTTTTCATAGCTCCTCTCATATCATTCACTGGTGATGAAGTATTCACAGTTCTTGACGGCATTGGCTGTCTCCTCCCTGCTGACTACCGAGGCCTTTGTTTTGTTCGCTGATGTGAGAATCCCAAATGCTCAGAAGGATGCTGGTTGTGCTGTTCAGTAAATGAATGAACCTGGAAGCCCACGGGCGGCTTCTCCCTGTTGTCTGGGTCACTGCCAGTGGTTTTTCAGGTAAAGGCCAATGTCATGGCAGCAGATTGGGAAGAAATGTAGAGTCTCCAAAATAAGAGTCTCCCACTCACAGGCTGTACACCTCCAAGCAAAATCCTTGACTGCTCTGAAGGTCATTTCCTTCCCTACTAAAGAACAGCATGAGCTAAAATTATACTGTTGGATTAACATTTAGCCCAGAAGTTAATGGCTGATGTTCTTTGATGAGTCCTACTCAATCAGACTTGGTCATAATACCTTCCATTCTCTGCCACTGTGTGTTCTTCGAGAAGTAGGGGTTGTGTCACTCATCTTGTCAATGAGAAGCAGAGGTCCTGCCCGAGGCCACACAGTGGAGGTGGCAGAGCGTTGCTGGAGAGTGGGTCTGCTGAACACATCCGCTGCATGCTCCGCCTTCCTGGGGGCTAATGTAGTAGATACTGATTAGCTCCTTTGGAGGGAAGCTTCTAGAGCTTTCCTTCCTGCCTTCATATGCCAGAGAAATGCAAAGGGCTAAAGAGGGCCCCAGGAGGTGTTGTTATAAAATAGCCTAGTCCTCCCGAAGCATGAAGTGCAAGAGAGTCTGGGAACCCCACCCAACCCTGAATCAAACCTTCCCATCTGCTAATGAACACTACTTCCAGGTCATTCCCACCCTCTAAGTAAGGTATTTAACAAAGATAAAATACTCTTGCATTAAGACTGTTTTAAAGATTATCATGGTATTGGTTTAGAGGCCAGTTAGCTTATGGTTGGGACAACCGAGCCGTCATTACTGCTGCCTTCATTAGTGATTGGAAAAGTACTGAACCTCTTCATTTTAGAGAGCTCTGCAAGCACCATTTCAAAACATGCAGTTACATCACTAATAACTCTTAATTATTGTAGTAAAGTTAACATAAAAAATGAGGAAGGCTATCTTCCTTATGAAGGAATTAACCTCTGCAGATATTTTCATTGGACATTTGAAATGACTAACCCAGAATTAATGGGCTGGATTTTGTCAGCATCTGAAAAACATGTTTTACATTTCAAGGAGTGGATTTCCTTTTTGAAATAGTTTGTCATCATTTTGGAAGACTTAAAAAGGTTCTTCAGAGAGCATTAAAATGAGAAATAATTTCATTTGGATGCTATAAAGCTTCATTACGTTTAATTGATTGGGATTGTTGGTGGCAGGCCAGAGAGAACTGTCGAATGGATGCGTGGGACTTAAAAGGAAATATATGCATTTAGTGTCAAGCACTCCTTCTTCAGACCAAAGTTTATTTTTGATAGTTTTATTGTAGTGCTAAAGAGCTAAGCTTTGGCACCCTTCTGGTCTACATTTGAATCCCACTTTTCCACTCATTAAACCTATAAGTTTAGACACATCACTTTGCATTTTGGATCTTGGTTTTCCTCACCTGGGAAGGTGCAATGCCTTCTTAGTAGTGTTGTCTTACATGAAATGACACATACATCATTTGAGCAGTGCCTGCTGTAGGCACTGAATGATGTTTGTCATCAAGCCATGCCATTTAGATAAGATAATGTATGTGAATAACATTATGCCAAATAAATGGAAAACGCCTGTATGGAACCCTGTGTATAATTTTCAAGTTGATATAGAAACTCTTTTTTCTTTCTCTTTCTTTCTTTCTTTCTTTCTTTCTTTCTTTTTCAGACTCAAGGATCTTATATTGTGTTATAAGTTGTCAATTTTTTAGTGTGTGTGTGTGTGTGTGTGTGTGTGTGTGTGTGTGTGTGTGTGTGTGTTTTTTTAAGGTAGTGCCACCTTTTTTTCCCTTATGTTAAACATTTTTGTTTGTTTGTTTGTTTGAGAAATAGGGCCAACTAAACCCTAAATCCTTGTGCTGTTGGCTACCATGGCCTCCAGCTCCACTGGAACCAGGGACACCACCATATTTTTTGAAACAAGATCTATCACTGGCCAGGAACCTGTTCATTGGCTAGAAAGGCTGGGGGGGAGAACCCCCGGGCTCCCCATGCTGAGGATTGAACTTAGGTGGCAAGTTCTTTTCAGGCTGTGCCATCTCCCAAACCCATACCAGTTTAAACTAAAGAAATTTCACTGTAGGAGGTGGAGTAAGCAGATGTGAATTCCAACTTTCCTATATGAAATTGTATTTTCTAGGAGAATGCGTGGAAGGACTTCGGGAGAATGACTACCTGCTGATCCATTCATGCCGGCAGTGGACCACCATCACTGCTCATAGCCTGGAAGAAGGTCACTACGTCATTGGGCCAAAGATAGAGATCCCCGTACATTATGCAGGTAAGACTTGGCAAGACAAGCAGAGAGAGGAGGGGATTTAAAGTGCTGAGTTTCTTCTTGTCTTTGCAGCAAGAAATAGGAATATTTCTTATACTACCAACTAGAGAGCACACTGACTAAAAGAACTAAACATTTCTGTGTGGTTATTTTTTTTTAATCAGTGATGGCTCCATTTTGTGATAGATATTTGTAAGTAATGGGGCTGGGTGTTTATAAGATGAAAACTTTACATGAAAAACTTCTCTGTGATCTTGGAATTGGAGCTCTATATGTAGCCAATCAGTGAGCTCCACATTTGTGTACATCTGAGTAACCTAAGTACAATCTGAGCAATGCTTTTGTGAATGACTAGGATGTAGCAACTACACAAGGTGCCATTTCATAAGTGAGCATAGTACTCTGGTTTTAAAAGTATCTGTTTAAAAGTTCACATAGCCTGGTCATGCTACTCCTCTCAATTAGTCTTTCAGAATACAACACTGGCATGATCTCATTGCTCTAGTTAAACATGGATGATACCCACCTTGTCACTTTTAAACTCCATTAGTTTAGGGATGTCATTGCACTCGGTTTTGTTGAGTGAATTCTGTGGTGAGAATTGAACTTGTGATGTATAAATAAATAAACTTTGCTTAAATAAACTTTAAGTAGGGGTAGCTTATAAATCAGTTTTTTAAAAACAAACATGTTATAATTCACTATCTTCTGGGTTTTAAAGTTTGCCACATAAGGTTATTAACTTTTTATGTGTTATTGTACTTTTTAAAAAGTTATAGCAGGATATTTTAACCAACTAACTATAGATTATGCAGACCTCAACTGCTGTTTTGGCTTTAACAAATTTGTCTACAATGCTGGGCAAGTTATTTATTTGAAAATGGAATCTTGCCGTGTTCTAGAATGATAGCAAATGGTATTTGTTCAAACAGTATTTAATGAATGAACAAATGCTTTGGTAGCCTTTTTGGTTCTTAGAAGTCTTCAGATGCTCACTAAACTTAAAAAAAAAACCTTTCAAAAATATTACAGGAAAGAGAATTTTTGTGGCTTAAAACTTTGTCCTTTAGAATTATATAGGTGGAGTTTTTCATCAGGACCACTGGCCAGCTCCCAAATAACCACACAGAGACTTTATATTGTTTAAATTAAAGCTCTTACAACTTAAATTAACCCATATTTTTTTTTATCTCCACTCAATCATGTGGTGGCCCCTGTTCTCACACAGCATGTTTATCTTGCTTCTCTCTGCATTTCCTGGCAACTCCTGTGACTCTACCCTCTTCTTCCCCATCCAAGAAATCCTATCTAACTTCTACCTACCCAGCCATTGGCCATTCAGCCCTTTATTAGACAAATGAGAGCAACAAATATTCAGTGTGCAAAAAGATTGTTCCTCCGTGTTATGATAAAGTGTGAGGAACTGTAGCGAATTCCATGGCAGGCGAGGTTGAACAAGGCAGGACAAACGTGCCTGGCAGCCAGAGCTTTGTGAGAAGTTTTATTAGAAAGTGGAGGGAAGAGGGGAGAAAAGAGGTAAAGAGACACAGAGACAACGAGAGGACAGAAGAGAGGGGGAGACTGGAAAGGTCCTCTCTGCCCCAGGTGAACAATGGGAAAGAGAGAGGGAGAAAGACGGAGCGGGAAAGAGAGGAGCAGGAAAGAGAAGAGAGTGTAAGTGGGTGGGGTCTTTCTTTTAAAAGGGTCCTTTATACCTGCTTGCAGACTAAGCAATCATGGAACCCTGGACTGACCAGGATACTACCTGAGTGCATTCTGCCAGGTGATGGGCAGGCCAGCATAATGCCTGCATCCTTACACACAGCAATTATGAGTAGGCTTTATGGGAAAAAATAAGTAGGTGGAACCCATAGAAGGTGCTGTGTTCATGAGGTTAGGGCCAGGTGACTGGAGCAGTGTTCATATGAGTAGGAAATTTGACAAGCCCTCAAGTTGCCCACATTCCCCTCTAAGAGATTCCACAGAAACAAGATCTACTTTATTTTCTGCAAGTTCAACTCTGGTTTTTCTCCTTATGGAAAACTAAAAAATATTCAGTCCATTGTATGTTTCTACCTGGGCCGTGCTCTATCAGTGGACTTAAGTTTTAGAAGTGTCTACAAAACATGGTGATTGGCTCTGTGAAATCAGTCTTCCCAGAGGGCTGCTTTTGATGGAGACTCCATCCTGCAGTGTCCTAGACCTGCAGAGTGCTAGCCTGTTATCCCATCTTTCTACTCTAACAGGTGGACACTCTGTTGTAGCAGGGTCAGTCACCTCCTCGTTCCCTGACTGCACTGGATATTTTCCCATTTGCCCTGTTCACCCTGCTGGAGTTGCCTCCTTCAGCCATGCAGCTTCTCTGGTAGGGAGGGCCTTCCGTCACAAATTGGCTCTGGGTCTGCACGTCATATTCATTCGACACATTTCATGACTCTTCATGCAGTTATTACTTCCTGTGCTCACATATACCTCCCTTTGCTGACCATTTCTTGACAAATAAGATAGATGTTTAAAATTTCTTAGGCATTCTTTCTACAATTGATAAATTTCTTTGTGGAAATGGGTATTCAGTCCAAGGATTGTAATCTTGGCTGTACAGTGGAATCAAAGAGAAGGTTCTGGAAAGACTAGTTGCTGAGTCCTACCTGCACAGATTCTAGTTCAGTTGGTCTCAATGGTTGCATAGGCCTAAATGGTTATATAAGATGGGCATCAGGATTTTCAAGGTTTCTCCATGGTTAAAAATACAATTAAAGTCGGAGAAAGACACCAGTATCAAATGATAAGATTTCCCCCGAAATCAACAACAGACACAAGTATTTTGAGCTTACGCTTTTGTATCGATAGCCATCCATCTCTCAGTGGGAAGAAAGGTATGGCATGTTCAGACGCTTACTCTTTGTATAAGAAATGATGCCACACAGGTAACCAATGGTCCCTGTAAAGCCACATGTTGCAAAGTTATGGATTATCTTTAATGAAATAGATCCACCAATGCTAAACTGAGAAGTAGGGACACTAAAGTCTTACAACTTTACATTAACGAATAGAAAACAGATTAAAAAAAGAGAAACCTGAAACAAAGCCAAGTGCTTTATGATCTCATTTCCCATTAGGCAAGAAGGAGGTGGTGTCAGTCCCAGTTTTCTGAGCTGTTTTCCTTGAATTGCTTCAGCAAGAAGCTGGAGTAGAAGTTTGGAGGTCCACATAGATATTGGCCTTTTGTTTGGGACTCCACATCTTTTAACACATGAAGGCATTTACATTTCAGAGTTTACAGGCAAAGGGCTGGCTCTCTTGCCTTTTGGTAGAACATTTGTTTCCAGTGTGTACAGCCCTGACCTTAATCCCCAGTTCTACAAAGAAAAAGAAGTTTACAGGAAAAGTTTAGTGATTTTCCTAGTTTTTTTTTCTTTCAATCTTCTATGCTAACAGGTAAGCAAGAATGCAGTTTATTTTAGTTACATTTTAAGACATATCTGTGAATTTTGGTAAATCATTTACGTAGTTTTGGTGGCATAGTTATAAACCATTTTCTTAGTTTTTTCAGACAAAATTTCACTATTTCCAAGGCTCGTTTCAAACTTAGGCCTAACCCATCCTCCTGCCTCAGCCTACCCAAGTTTCTGGGGTTATATGCATGCAGCAGCCTGCTTACCTTACAATGGCATAGTCTGTTTCCAAGAGGAGATTTATTAGAAAAGTTCAGCCCTTGGAAGAAAGAGCGTTAGAGCACAGTGTGGGAATAGAAGCTGTCACTTTCATTGTTCTTGCTTATTTGAGCTCCGGCTGTAATTAGTAGGGAATATACTTACCCAGGCATGTATTACCATTGTGTCATTAGCTTCAGGATTTCATCTAAGTTGGGATTCATCTTCCATTCCTGGAGAAGGCTTAATAAGTAGTTCACAAACACCTTCAGCACAGCAGCAGTAGCACAGCCCACCAGCCTCGTGATCAGCCTTGTTTGATTTCTGCCACTTACTCATTCTCTGTATTGTTTGGACAAATCCTGGTTTCTTAATGTACAAGTGGGATAGAGTGATTTTCTTCCAAAGAAGCATGGAGGCTATGCAAGTGAAACACCTTTCAGACCTTCTGAGCACTCCACAGACATTAACCATGCCGATCACCAACCAGAGCAAGCCCAATAAAATGCTTCCAAATCCCTTGCTCCTATCTTGGACTAATCAAAAGGCAAATGACTTGCCTTCTGGTGTTGAAGCCAGATGAGCACCAGCACCCCTCAACATTGTCCTGGCTCTCTCTCTCTCTCTCCCTCTCCCTCTTTCTCTCCCCTTCCCTCCCTCTTCCCCTCTCTCTCTGTTGTCTATTTCATTTTGCTTTTTAAAAATAACTTTGTTTTGAGAACTTCATACATGAGTCCTGTATCTATATCACTCCTGTCCCTTCCTCTCCCTCCAGTTCCTCCCATGTGCCCCCTCCCAAATTTATGTTCCCATCTTTAGTTATTGTTACATGTATATGCATATGAATATCTGTGTGTATATGTGTGCACATGTGAATTTTCATCCTACTGAGTCCATTTAGCATTGCTCTGTGGACATGTGTTTAGAGCTGACCTCTTGAGACTGGACAACCTATGTGGGTGCTTGTTCCTAGAGTAGTCTGATTCTCCATCTCTCGGTAGCTATTGGCCACCTGTAGCTCTTCATCTTGAAATGAGGCCATGTGGAATTTCCCCCATCCACACTGCCATGTTAGCTGGTATTGTCATTATTGCTAGTCTTTTTTGGGTGATTGTATTTTGGGAGTTTCTGGATGCAACTTCTTCTAAACTTTGTCTTGAGACCTCATCCTTCTATCATTTACTCAGTTTGGCCCATTTTGATCTCATGTTTTCACTTGTTTTTATCATTCTTGCCCTGCCCAAATGTGCATACAGACTTACACACATATATCTTTACTTTGAGTATTTGGGAGTAGACAACACACACACCCTATGCATTTCTAATACAACTATGATACAGTTGGCAAAT